GTAGTTATCAGGCTCAGATTGTACTCTCTCTCCAGCCTTTCCTGAACAATTTCCATGTGGAGAAGCCCCAAGAATCCACATCTAAATCCAAAACCCATAGCGCTCGAAGTCTCGGGCTCGAACTTCAGAGCAGCATCATTAAGCTGCAGTTTCTCAAGTGCATCCCTCAACTCAGGAAACTGATCAGCATCCACAGGAAACATGCCACAGAACACCATTGGAGTGGCTTCCTCATAACCAGGCAATGAACTTTCTGCCTTTCTACTATAGTTTGTGATTGTGTCCCCAACTCTAGCATCAGCCACTGATCTTATAGAAGCTGAAAGATAACCCACCTCACCAGCATAAAGTTCTCCAACCTGAAGCTGAGTGGGAGACAAAACCCCAATCTCATCAGCAAAATAGTCCTTCCCACTAGCCATAAAATAAACCCTATCACCCTTCTTTATCTTCCCATCAATTACCCTAAAATACACAATAACACCCCTATATGGGTCATAGTAACTATCAAAAATCAAAGCTCTCAATGGTTTATCAGCAGTATCAGCTGGTGGAGGAACCCTCTCAACAATTGCATCAAGAATCTCAGATATCCCAATTCCCTCCTTGGCAGAACACAGTATTGCATTGCTACAATCCAACCCAATAACCTCTTCAATCTCCTTGATTACACTATCTGGGTCAGCTCCTGGAAGGTCTATTTTGTTCAAAACAGGGATGATCTCCAAGTTGTTTTCCAAGGCCAAGTAAACATTGGCCAAAGTTTGAGCTTCAACTCCCTGTGAAGCATCAACAACAAGAAGAGCACCTTCACAAGCAGCAAGAGACCTAGACACCTCATAAGAAAAATCGACATGCCCAGGAGTGTCAATGAGATTCAAACAATATGGCTCACCATTTTTGAAACTATAACGCATCCGAGCAATCTGTAGCTTGATGGTGATGCCTCTTTCTCTCTCTAAGTCCATGTTGTCAAGAAACTGCTCCTTCATTTCACGCTTCTGAACAGTCCCAGTCGTCTCCAGCAACTTGTCAGCCAAAGTCGACTTGCCATGGTCAATATGTGCAATTATGCAAAAGTTCCTGATACGGGAAATGGGTACCTTGGAAAGACGGTCATGGCCGAGCTGGGAAATGGGTTGGGTTCCAGTGGCTTGACAGAGCACTTGGAGTCTTTGCCGAGGCCTGGAGGAGGTTCTGGAGAGATGAAGGAGAGGTTTAGAGTGAGAGAGTGAGAAGAAGGGCAAGAAGGAGGTGGTTCTGGGATGTGAACGTTGGGGAGTGGTGGTGGTTGTGGATAGGAGGAGGGTCTGAGATTGAGCAGAGAGGTCTGCGGCCATGGCGAAGAACCAAACTTGGATTGAATCGTATGAATGGCTTGGGCTATAGTTGGTTTTGGATTGGATTTTTGACTTTGGTCTTCGTCTGATATCTATGGCCCATGTAAAACTAAAAATGAGCTACTTTTCTTAATTAAAAGAAAATTAGAAAACAAAAACAAAAAGAAGAAATCTTCAAAAAAAGAAAAAGAAAAAAGAGCTAACATATGTGTGTTCTTGATTATCTCATTTGCCTTTGTTATGTGCAATGAAAAATTTAAGAATTTCATAAATAAATAAATAAAAAATTCACTATTATATGGCGAGACGTAAATGAATTTGATTGTATAAGGCAATGAGGCTAAAAAATAAAAATAAAAATTAATGGTTCGTTTGAGACTGCTTCTCTATCACTTCAAAAGTGCTTTTATTATAAAGAAGTTGAAATTTTAATAAGAAATTCAAGTGCTACAACATATGCTTCTCTACAAAGTGCTTCCACGATCTAGAAGTACTTTTAACATTTTATACCAAACGTAGTTAGAAGTGCTTTTAGCCCTCCCAAAAGCATTCCCAAACATAGCCTAAATCTCTAAGTATACTTCTAGCTTTTAAACTATAGTATTTATTATATTAGTGGGTTTCCTCACACACATTGCAAATGTATCTTGGAGTTCGAACCCGAGACCATTGATTTTCATATTGAAATTATGGTTCTATCCATGCATTTTGCATATTAAATATACAACTACAATTGATCACTTTTGACAAGTAATACATGAAAGGTTAGGGCAAGCAAATGAATCATGAGATGTGAAAACATGTTATGTGATAGGCTTTTCAGTACCTGCGCAAACAGGGTTAAAACTCCTACAAAACTTGCAAGAATGACAAGGTTATTGTAGTAT